TGCTGATTATCGGTTTGAAAAGTAACGAAAGTATGCGGAGATCGTCGCACAACGGCGGTCCGGAGTGTGTTAAATACCATAAGCGAACTTTGCACAGCATCATGAAAACGGGAAGGTGCAGACCGATCAGCGCGAAGTATGGATGAGCTAGACGGGGTTCATACTTTGCAAATGTGAACAATCCGCAATACAGAAGATCGATAAAGGAAAGTATACGTATCGATCCGGAGAATTCGCGACTTCGGAACGTACGCGAATCGGGAGAATGCGCGACAAGGTTAGATAAAATGATAATCGATCGATTTAGCCCAGCAGCGAATCGCGCGTTCACTCAATCCGCGCCTTCTCCTTCGCATAGTATAAACGCTATCTAGTGAACTAATACATCAGCAAACGGAGTTCAACCGTATTTACACTTCCATCTTGCAGTGCCAGTCTTTCGAAGAATATATGCAGTGATCTATGACGACCTCTGAGAGCTGACTACTTCGGGTGAGGTCCGACCCCGTACTCAGCAAAAATCCAGTGTGGTGCCCATTACTTCATTTTCAACGAATTATGAGGTATGCTTCTTGTTCACAAGTAAACTTACTTCCCCACGACGAACGTTGGCGCATTGTCATTTACGTCCACTACGTTCACCGTCAGTGTACTGAACGCCTTTCGGCCCAACGCATCCTCTACGACAAGCGGAACTCTGGAAAGTAGTGATTTCGGAGAGATTACTGCTCTAGAACAAAAATGAAATCAGTACGCGCTATGTCAGAATATGCCAACGCTGTTCGGGTTAGGGGGCGTGGGGCAAGGCAGCATATCAACTCGCCACTTACTCTCATTAGTTCTTGTTAACCTATACATCCCACCAAAGTGAGACCAGTAGAATAGTGTTAAGTATAAACGAAGCTTCTGCCAGAAAAATGCCCTCACCAGGCCCAACTGCGTCTATGTATTCGCAGTCCAATAATGTTAAAACATGCCTTGTCTCATAACATGTCACTGACGTGGGAGTTGAGGAGCTCCGCAGGGGGGTGGGCAAAATTTAAGGAGAAGGGAAAACCATTTTCACACAATGGAGTTGGTTTACCCACCAAATAGCTCCTATCCATGATTCGGATCGAGACATTCATACATCACCTTGAAATGCCGTCAGACGAAAAAAAATCCGGAAAATGGCTTGGGAGGAGGAATTAGTTCATAAGACTTGAGTTCTTTGTCACTGGCTTGTCATGAGACATCGCGGCATATTATACCGTACATATTATACTGCAGACCTATAAGGACAAGTCCTGCCATTGGAAAAAATTTTGTAAACCCCCCCCCCTCCTCGAAATTTCCCGGTACGATCCATATCAACCATCTTCCTGAAACCACCCGAATTTGAACTTTTCCATAATATTTTCTGAAAGTTCTCCAGTTTTTCTCAAAAAATAGCTGGCAAGCAACATATGCCCCCCCCCCGCTGGAGTCATCAACGTACGACATGCCCTGGGACCTATATTGGTTTAGCGCCAAACAAGTAATAGGTGAAGATAGATGAAGAAGTAACAAATAAATAACTTAACAACTTCTAAACGCACTTGTACTCATGTTGGTGACGATAATTGAACACGATCTTCGGATGTATTCTACCGGTAGGCTTCTCAATTCGCACTGATCTTTGGCGATTATCACCAGCAGTACAAGGGTGGAACACCGTCACGAGCTTGTACTGCCAGAATGGCAGTCTTGTTTGTCAGAATACTGAAACGAGAACTATGCATTCCATCACTTCGCAAGGGAAATCCAAATAAATTGCCTTACTTGTTTTCGCGGACATCTATCACATATTGGCTCTGTTCGAATCGTGGAGGGGGTTGGCGACTTCCTGACACGGCTATGGAGACCGTCAGTTGACCGTAGGCGGTGAACAATCCATCCGATACGAGACATTTAGGACCTTTTGTCCACCGTCGTTCATTGCATCATCAGCATCGATGGAACGGAGCAGTGACACCTCTCCGGTATGCTCCGCAACGGAAAACAGCGTCTCATCGCCTTCGATGATCGAATACAACAGGCGGTGATCACCTTTGATGGACGATACGGTATCCTGAAATTACAGATTCAGATAGGTTAACATCTGAAAGGCGCTGTCCCGAGGTCCTAAAGACATGGCCACGATGACTGGGAGCGGGGGATGTGCCATTATTATTGGTTTAAGGGCTAAGCGGGGTGTGGTCAAGCTCCCTCTCGCAACCCTTCCACCAATGACACTAGCAACACAATCGATCCGCCTCAGCAAGGGTGTTGCCCTCTGCCCTGACATAGACGCCATCTGAGAGTTACAAACCCTCTATAAGTTTCAAAATTCCTCCATTCAAAATCCCTCCTTGGCTCAGTCCACCTAGCCGCGAAAAAAACTCACATCATCCGTGACGCTCATGATAGCGACAAACTGGCCAGCCGTCGCTGTGTCAGCTACCGTTGCAGCGGCGAATGGTGTAGAGAACCGAGGTGGCTCATCATTCACATCCTCCACCTGAAAGCCAGGCCATTTATCACTATGAACCGAGAATTTCGAAAGTCTCAAGAAAAAAAAAAGACTGTGAACCAACCGTCAGCACCAGCTTGGACTCTCCAGCTAGTTGTGAGTCATCTGCTGCTACCAGAGACATCTCATAACGTTGCCGCTTTTCAAAGTCTAGCTGTTGGGCTAGACTGAGTAATCCTGTGGCGGGATCCATGTGAACAACTGAAAATTTGAGAAGTGCATGGCGTGGACGATGTTTGATCGATAGGCCACAAACTATTACCCTGAGTCACTATAGTACTCCCGAAATACATGAAGAAAGACTTACTGGAGGAGTCTTTTCCACTGACAGCATAACTAATCAGTCCGTTGCCACCATCTGGATCCACTGCCTTTACAGTCAGCAGTTTCGTATCAGCTGGTGTCGATTCCGAGACATTCACACGATAGATGGGATGTTCAAATCGTGGGCCATTGTCGTTAACGCCAGTGAGCTGAAAACCCTAAGGTCACTTCTATTTATTCACATTTTTCGGCAGCTATCGGCTTGGTGGGGGCACTTAATCATACTCATAGTCAGCGAACGCAGTACCTTGTGAAGAAATTTGAATTATGTCATTGTAGTGGCTCTTTTGTACCACATCGTAACCCTACACGAGATTACAGTTTTGGTGAGACCTGTTAGTTAATATGAACTAGCAAAGGGAACAAGCGAAAGTGCAAAATTTCCCCCAACCACCCTCACCTCCCCTTTAAGCCGAACAGCGATCTTTTAACTGTATTATAGCTAGAAAAACTTTTTAATAATAATAGTTTTCGGATTTCGGACAGGTTAGTGGGCCAACTGAAAATTGTGCTTCTCATGGACTCCCTCCTTT